TGTTAATGTAGAGCCTTTTATGGACATGTTTGCTTTGCTGTTTTAAACCGGTTTAAATGTAGTCACCCCCTGTAGTGATTTATTAAACCTCATATGGAATTATTGTTTTAACTGTTTCTCATTTTGAACACTGGTTGCCATTTGAACAGTTTTAAGCTACATCCACATGAAAACACTCCTGGATTTTTAAATTTTTCGTTTTTTGTGGGTTGAAAAAAATTTGCGTCCACACACGTGTCGGATCAATAAATATTCACATCCAGATGACGACGGAGCACTGAGTGAAAACGATGTAATACACATGCCACACCTGTATGTGGCGCTGTTAACAATGATACTAATATTTAATAATGAATATCTCATCACATTTTTTTTAACTTTAAGGTAATTTAGCCGATTTTAGATGTATCCCAGAAATATAGCCATTTTGTTTTCGTTTTTAGCCATAAGATTTGGATGAGAATTATTAGAATAACTTGGTCTCAAAATCCAACAGTTTAATTACTCATGTGTAATCTTTGTTATTGATCCGTGTGCGTAATTTGCGGTGCATGTTGTTAGCATTAGCGTTTGCAGCGTGTCTCGGTTGCTGGGCGACGGGAGCGGCTCTGTAGGATACACCTGTCACATTTCAGTAACGCTCTTGTGGTCAGCGGAGTTCGAGGTTTGCTTGTCCACACGCCAACACAACGCCGGCATTCTCACATTTCTCCACTCTGGAACCTGTTCTCGGTTTTCACCCACCCGAAACGCCGGCTCCGTGTGGACGAAAGGCCAAAACGAATAAAAACTTCACCGTTTTGACCAAAAAATGTAAGACCCTTTTGTTAAAATCTCTGGAGTGGCACTGGCCTCCCTTGAATGGCCCCTCAAACCCCACCTGGCGCCGCCCCTGTTAGGCCCACTAATGTTCTTATTGTTTCCCTTTTACTACAACTTCTACAACTAAATCCAAATCCACTTTATTTATAGCACATTTTCCAAACAAAGCAGTTTCCAAAGTATCATAAAATGAAAACAACAAAAAGATAAATTGCTCAATTTTGGTCATTTCAGTCTTAAAACAATAAAACCAGTCAAATCAAATAAAGCAAGACCATAAAACTCACAAAATAGCAGTAAATAAGTAAAATAAAAATACTACTTCTACTACAACTAATGAAACTACGACAATTATCACTGCATGACCACTACGGGAAAAAAAAAAACTTGGATAACCTTGAAACTCAATCACTGCTAGGCCTAAAAAAAATAATTAAACCAGAAATAATTGGGGCTATTAAAATAAAAAGAAAAAAACTCTCCATGGCAAAACTTTCAACAGTCTGAAATCCTCGTTAAAGTTTGATCCTGAAGCTAAGCGGGACTGGACTTGGATCGAACTTGGATGGGAAACCGCTGGGAATACGACGAGCCGCAGTGGAGCAGCAATGGCTCTGGTCCGTACTGTTACTGTGTCCTTGGGCAAGACACTTCACCCACATTGACATTGCCTCGTGTGAGTGTGGTGTGTGAGTGTTGGTCATATCTCACCACCGCTGAATCTGGAGTGAATTCATGCATTAGTAGTGTGATTATTAAAATATTTAGTATTGCAGTGCCAGTTTAAAAGTCTTATATTATGCAAAATTAACTCTTTAAGCTTTAAGTCATGTTATAATGTTGTTCCCTCCTAAAAACTTAGATTTAGACAAACTTTATTGATCCACAAGGGAAATTATTTGGACAATCTAGTCAAAAAAAACAAAACAGACCTGGTGTTGTGTTTTGTTTCATTCACACATGTTTGAGTAACTCTTTATTAATATCATTAGTTTACCATTTACCCTTTGGTTGACTCTGACAGGCCACTTTAAGCTCATTTGGAATAACAAAATAAACATATTTTACAATTTTATCTTATGCATGGACTAAAGCTGCATTGTTTTTATTTTAGTTGTGTTTTTAAATGACATTATTGTAAGACGGCCTCACTTTTTCATTGCTTAGTCATAACATAAACTCTTACCAGTCCTACCAACTCGTCAAAACAATGATATTTAATGTTTTTTTTTTGTTTTTTTTTTTTTTTTTACAAAGAAATACAATTAATTTTGGGCAGAATTGAGTTAAGCTTTTTGGCTCAGCCCTACACAATATTTTCTGACCTTATGGAAAAAATTATTGTCCGCTCCTGGTATAGATAGTCAATTCCAGGGGTGAAATTATCAAAATGATTCTTGTGAACGTGTGTGGAGTTTAAAAACACAGTGGAGCACTTTCTGACATCACAAGGTGGAACAGAGTGTTTTCAGTTTGAGAGAAGAACTCAGCCTAAATCTGCAGGGTTTGTGTGTTAAACGTGTGAATGAAACAAAACAAAACACAACTCCGGGTCTGTTTGTGATGACGAAACAGCATAACAGCGTAAATCTGAAAATAGCGTAACATGGGCCCTTTAATAAGTGTGGTCCAAGCAGAATCCACGGCAATTTGTCAACTGGACTTGAGTTCCGGTCGGACGCTGGTGGACACTTCCTTATATCTGCCTGAGAGGGAGGAGCTAACTACACTGAAACTACTCTGAACCAAACATTTTATTTCACTGTACATTTGACAACGAATTAAGTAATTTTTTCACTATGAGGCTCAAAAAAAAAAAAATCAAAAAAAAAAATCCAACTTAATCCAATCCAATCCACTTTATTTCTATAACACATTTCACAAACAGTTTCCAAAGTGCTGCACAATACATAATAATAACAACAATAATACAATGATAAAATAAACTACTAAAATAATCATACTAGTCTTAAAATACTAAAACCTGTAAAATAAAATAAGAGCAAAATCATAGACTAGCAATAAATAAATAAAACCAGTAAAATACATTAAAAATAAATAAAATAATTTTTTTACTCGTTTTTAAACTTAACTCGCTGTCAAATGTAGAGTTGCACCAGACAAAGCCGCTCTTGTCATAACACAATCGGTAGCGGCGTGCTCTCTTTACGCCGAATTACAATTACAGTCAACATTTACGTAATTACTTATTCATAACCTAACCAGACGTTGTAATTCACTGTACATTTGACAGTTAAGTTGGATTTTTTTCCGCTATGAGGCTCGGCAATGCTACTTGTTTACACTTAATTATTTAGCCAGGCCTGTCGAACTTGCACTGACAAATTACGTTTTAGTTCAGTAGAGATCGGCAATTCTGGGGCTGAAATTATCCAATTGATTCTGGTGAAGGTGTTTGGAGTTTAAAAACACAGTGGAGCACTACTTGTATTAACTACTTGTGCCTAAATATGCAGGGTTTGTGTGTTAAACATGTGCGAATGAAAGAAAACAAAACACAACTCTGGGTGAAGGTGAAACAACATAGCAGCGTAAATCCGAAAATTTTGGGCCCTTTAAGTGTCCCTTAGTCGTCCAGGTAAAATCCACGGCAAAAGGAGAAACTCACTTTGTCAACTGGGTAAAAGTTTATTTGGTCAAATACGTTTTGCAGCTCATCCATTCTGGTCAGACGCTGGTGGACACTTCCTAATATCTGTTTGAAGAGTGGAGCTAACTACACTGAAACTACTCTGAAACTAACCAGATCATAAAAAAAAATCCAACTTAACTCACTGTCAAATGTTTATGTTGCACCCGATAAAGCCATAACACAATCGGTAGCGGCGTGCTCTCTTTACGCCATATTACAATTACAGTCAACATTTACGTAATTACTTATTCATAACTTAACCAGACGTTTTAATTCACTGTACATTGGATTTTTTTTCGCTACAAGGCTCGGCGTGGTTACTTGTTTACAGTTTCCGTTAGTTGGCTAGGCCTGTTGAACTTACACTGAGTCGACAAATTGACAAATTACGTTTTAGCTTTAGTTCAGTAGAGATCGGCAATTCTGGGGATGAAATTATCCAGTTGATTCTTGTGGGGTTTGGAGTTTAAAAACACAGTGGAGCATTACTTGTATTGCTACATGACGTCACAAGGTGGCACAGAGCGTTTTCGATTTAAGAGAAGAACTCAAAGCCTAAATACGTGCGTTAAACATGTGCGAATGAAACAAAACACAACTCTGCGTGATGACGAAACAGCAGCGTGACAGCGTAAATCCAAAAATTTTGGGCCCTTTAAGTGTATAAAATCCCTCAGTCGTCTAGGAAAAAGGAGAAATTCAATTTGTCATCTGGGTAAAAGTTTATTTGGTCAAATACGTTTTGCAGCTCATCCATTCTGGTCGGATGCTGGTGGACTCTTCCTTATATCTGCCTGAAGGAAGGAGCCAACTACACTGAAACTACTCTGAAACTGACCAGACGTTTTAATTCACTGTACAGTTGGATTTTTTCGCTTAGTTCAGTAGAGATCAGCAATTCCGGGGCTGAAATTATCCAATTGATTCTTGTGAAGGTGTTTGGGAGTTTAAAAACACAGTGGAGCACTACTTGCATTACTACATGACGTCACAAGGTGGCACAGAGCGTTTTCAGTTTGAGAGAAGAACTCAAAGCCTAAATACGTGCGTTAAACATGCGCGAATAAAACAAAACACAACTCCGCGTGATGACGAAACAGCAGCGTGACAGCGTAAACCCGAAAATAGCGTAACGCGGACGGGCCCTTTAACCACTTTAGTCCAATTAAAACGCATTTCCAAACATTCTCCGTCTCGTCCCATTCATTATAACCGCGCTATTATTGCATCGTCCGCGCGCCACGTCCCCCCGTTCGAAGCGCGCGCCTCCAGACTATGACTTCATATCTGTTTTTTAATTAGACTCAAAAGCAACACCTGGCTATCATTACGCGCACTGGTTTCTTCATAAAAACGCTCCTCTGCACATGCCTTATAAAAACATGTTCTCGCCAGGCTGCGCTCGCCGTCCAATCCGCTAACCCGCCGCCGAGCCTTGCGCCAATGTGCCCTCGTTTTCGTGCGCCCACCTCCTCGCGCCTCGTCCAATCGGATCTGCGCAATTTTGGAGCAGCCAGGAAAGACCTTGCCAGGGCGAAATTACCCTGTGTGTACGTTTTGGTGTATGTGTGCTTGTGTTTTTGCCCGGGCAGGGTCGTTTACGCAGCGCCGCACGTCTCCATCAGTTACAGCCACTACTAGCCTAGCGCGTTTTTTTTTTCTTCCTACCTTCTTCCTCCACCTCCTCCTCCTCCTCCTCCTCTTCCAACCACCTCCTCCACCTCTTCCCGGTCTGCAGTTGTAGCATCATCCCGGGGATCGCGACACTCCGCCGGGGCTTCATTCAACCACGCTCCGGACCGAAGAAGCGACACCATCGGGGCTAGCAGTAAGTGCCGCACGACATTTCATTTTTGCTTCACTTCACACAGTCAGAACCCCCATAGCGATGCGTGCCACTTTACGTTTAGCTTTAGCCTAGCCACGTCAGCGCTGCACCTGTCTACCGAGTCTGGTGTCATTTCAATGTTAGCACCGCTGGGAACGGTACGGCTCGCGTTGTGTTATTTTAGCTTTATTTATTTGCTGGGGAATTGATTGAAAGTGGCGGCACACGCGCCTACAAAGCGCTCTAGTTCGAGGCGGAAGAAGATTAGAGTTGCACCAGACAAAGCCGCTGTTGTCATAACACAATCGGTAGCGGCGTGCTCTCTTTACGCCGAATTTCAATTACAGTCAACATTTACGTAATTACTTATTCATAACCTAACCAGACGTTTTAATTCGCTGTACATTCAACAGCGAGTTAAGTTGGGTTTTTTCGCTATGAGGCTCGGCGTGGCTAATGCGATGTAACACGCGAGCGAGGTCGTTTTTTGAACAAGTACCGCAATCGGGTATATTTGCCCAACGTACAGCCTCTAAGCGCATTTATTTACGTTGGATGTCGCTGTATTTGATCAGTATTTAGCACAATAAGCCTCTGGTAATCCACGTAATTTGCGAATTTGGCCAAAAACGTGGCTTTCGCTGCGTCTGCTGGTGCTGCCTGCTTGGTTACGCGGAGCTCCCTCGCTATATTCCTACTGCAAATGAGGAATTACTGCAGTCGAATTGAATATTTGGGGTTGAGTCAACAGCCAGGAGCTTATTTATTCAAGTAAACGCTGAAAATCGCGCAGAAATGAGCGTGTGGAACTTGTAACTACACATTTACGCACAATTTTGATCAATGGAAAGGGGAATTTTTGAAACACTGGCTGTCCGCGGTGCAGTATTTGGCACACGCATCCAAGCGCTTGATCGCCAGTGAATTGTTTTTTAAGTTTGCATAATGATTTAAGTGGTATTTTAAGTGTGTTTTGTTTGAATAAGAAGCCCGTGTTGTTATTATGTGCGAAGTTAAACCCGGGCAAGTACATATAAGGCGAGATGAAGTGTTTTAGCAGCTCCTTGGCACACGGCGTTTGAACGTGGGGAGAAATGACACGGGGAGAGTTGAGGAAATCCAGCTAATCTGTTTTTGAGTGGGCTGTTGTGTCTTAAATTGGGAATGGAATATTATATTTCACCTCCACTTAAAACCACTGTTGAGAAGTCTAGCCTTTTATAACAGCGCTACAAACAAAAATAAATCTTGTGTCTATAGACTCTTTGAAAATGTGTAAACAAAAACACTCTAAAGCCAGAATGGAGGCATCTGGAGGCAAAAGTGACATGGAATTTGATGTGGTTTTAATGGGGAACCTGGGAATAATCGCCGAGTATCACAAAATATGAAAAATCACGGAAAATTTTGCTGACGAAACGCACTCGGATACACGAGAGTGAAGTCAAAGCAAGGTTTAAAAACATTCACAATTGTGTTTTGTGTTATTTGTTAATTTACGAAGAGATTAAGCATTTTGGCAAAGAAAAACTCCAGATTTTTCGGTTTTACTGGACAAATCCTTACAGAAAATTTGACCCCACTACAGTTTCTGACACTCATTTACAGATATATCATTATTATTTATTTATTTTTATTATATTCTTACACATTTCAACATTATTTATTTATTTTTGTGACTCTCAAATACAGTTTTGAGGTTAGAAAATTGTACAGCCTTTAAATAATCCACTTTATGTTTATTAATTTGCTTGTTTATGTTACGTACGTCAAAAATATCTTGGAATAATATGCTTTTTTTTTTTTTTTTTTTTACTGTGAGTGGGGTCGTCTCTCCACAGATCTGACCTTTAACCTGGTCTGGTTTTGGTCCAGTCATGGTTTAAGTACTGGTTTAGTTCTAGTCTGGTATTGATTTTGTCTGTTTAGTTCTGGTAAAAAAAAAAAAAAAAAGTAAAAAAAATAAAAATCTTCCGCTTTCCTGAAAAAAACAAAACAAAAACCCTACCGTAAGCATTTCTTTGACGATTAAAAACATAAACTTGAAATCCACTAATTGCCCAACCCCGTCTGTCTAAAGCTATTATTACAACATAATTATACGGCAATACAGAGATTAAACTGTTTCTGCTGCTGTAGTACTTACAACATAAACTCATCACTCACTGTCAGCAGTCAGACGCCGAGCAGCCGTGCAGTATTTTTACTCTATTTGCATTTTCTTCATCTTAGTTTTGGATTCTTAAAAGCGCACTATGTAATTTCTAAGGTGGAAGGCGCGCTACTTACTGCACAGTAGGTTATTATACAAATCTCCGTTGCGTTTGTTCAGTTACAGGTGTTTTAAAGCTCAAAAACACCTTAAAAAACCATACATTTTCACTGTGCGCTGGCTTGCCTCTCCATAGATCTGACCAATAACCTGTATTCATGGTGATTACTAAGTGTTTTTGTACATACTGAGGAATAATCAAGGCAAAACGGTAATATTTTAAAACGTTATTGGTCCACAAGGGAAAATATTCAGACACAGTAGCGCTTAAATCACGTTTTATTAGAATAACAAAGAGTGAATAAATAAAAAATGAGGATGGGAAAAGATCTGGTGAGATAAAAATGCCACAAGATCGTGCACACGTGAGGAAATTAATCTTGTGAGATTGTTTTCGATTTAGTTTCTTAGTATGTGGCTCTGGTTCCAAAAAGTACGTCTACTACTACAATAAAAATATTAAATTAGAAAATGTTAGACCAAAATTGCAAAGGAGATCTCACAATTATTTCAAACTCTCGTCAAGTCTCGTTTTTGTGGACTAATCTCGTGGTTCTTGACGAGATTGCACAATTATTTTGTTATAAATTACGTTAAACTCTCGTCTTGTGTTGTTTTTGTGCACCTAATCTCGTGGTTCTTGTCGGGATCGCACAATTATTTTGTTATAAATTATGTTAAAATCTCATTGTTACGTTTTTGTGAACCTAATCTTGTGTCTCGTTTCGTCTTGTGGAAATTTGAACAACCACCCCAAATAAAAAATATAAAAATGGTAATAATAATTCTCTAGAGCTGCAAAATTAATCACAAAGAAATCAAACTCGCAATTTGAAAAGACGTAATTATCAAATCATAAAGACTGCAGTTTTTGAAGTACCATAATTTTCTCCACAAACAACAAAAACTGCTGACACTGTAGTTTATTTGTACAAACATGTTCTGAAATACATGATTCTTCACGGCAAAAAGAGGAGTGTTAAAATTTGACTCTCACAGAATCAGGTTTAACATTTTCTCAGGGTTTATATGAGTCCAATCTGTTCTAGAGTTAATTTTACATTTTTTTGGAAATGTTAATTAAGTAACACTGGACCAAAATTCCTGTTTAACCCTGAAATCAAGAGTTATATTAACATTTTGAGAGTAAACAGATAACACTTTTGTAGAGTTATCCTGATTTAGCTAAACAACACACAGAGGCGTTTTATTTTTACACTTTATTTTAGTTAATTTAAGATGAAATTATGAACAAAACTGATCTTCTCTCATGGTGGGAGGTGCCAAATTAACACTAGTGGAAGTTGAATTAACACTAAGAGAAGTTGAATTAACATTAGGGGAAGTTGAATTAACACTAAAGGAGGTTGAATTAACACTAAAGGAAGTTGAATTAACACTAAAGGAAGTTGAATTAACACTAGTGGAAGTTGAATTAACACTAAGGGAAGTTGAATTAACACTAAGGGAAGTTGAATTAACACTAAGGAAGTTGAATTAACACTAAAGGAGGTTGAATTAACACTAAAGGAAGTTGAATTAACACTAAAGGAAGTTGAATTAACACTAAGTGGAAGTTGAATTAACACTAAGGGAAGTTGAATTAACACTAAGAGAAGTTGAATTAACACTAGTGGAATTTAAATTAACACTAGTGGAAGTTGAATTAACACTAAGAGAAGTTGAATTAACACTAGTGGAATTTAAATTAACAAAAGAAGTTGAATTAACACTAGTGGAAGTTGAATTAACACTAGTGGAAGTTGAATTAACAGAAGTTGAATAACACTAAATTGAATTAACACTAAGGAATTGAATTAACACTAAAGGAAGTTGAATTAACACTAGTGGAAGTTGAATTAACACTAAGTTGAATTAAGTTGAATTAACACTAGTTGAATTGAATTAACACTAAAGGAAGTTGAATTAACACTAAAGAAGTTGAATTAACACTAGTGGTTGAATTGAATTAACACTAGGAATTTAAATTAACACTAGTGGAAGTTGAATTAACACTAAGTTGAATTAACACTAGTGGAATTGAATTAACACTTGAATTAACACTAGTGAAGTTGAATTAACACTAGTGGAAGTTGAATTAACACTAGGGGAAACTTGAATTAACTTCAACCATATCAACTCTGGCAAATAACCACAACTCAAACCCCCATTTAACTTTCAAATAGTTAAAATAACAGTTTTTGGTGTTAAAAAATAACTCTATAAAATATAAAATCTCTAAATATTTTACCCAGAAATTTAAACCCTCCAGTTTTTGCTGTGTTGTTGTTGTTTTAGGTTTATTTTTCTGTCTTTTTGTCAATTCTTCTGGACGTGTTTGAACAGAATCCTGTTATTAAAGATGCATTGCGCAACTTTTCCGGTTATTGCTTGGTCTAGAATGTTCCACGGTACAGATTAAACCTGTCTACTCAAGGACGACAACTATAGGCAACATTACAGGTCAGATCTGCGGAGAGGCAACCCTATTCACAGAGAATTATTGTGTTTTTGTGCAATAGAAACACCTGTAATGAGTAAATGCTTGATTATGTGTTTAATAAAGTCATATCATGGGACATTCCAGACAAAGCAATGACATCTCCATGGAGACAACCCAGAAAATGTTAAATGTTGTTTTTGCTTCTCACGTGAAATTAAATCTGGGTTGGATCAGTTTAATCCCATTTGTTGTGTATTTGTTATCATATCTCAAATTTTAACTTGC